AATTCGCACGTTTTGGAAAGTACGATAGGGTAATGTACAACTGGCACGGGAACTCACCATCCGGCCATTCATTTTGTGCTGAAAGATATTAAAAAATATGGCTTCCTTTTAAAGTACTTTGCTAAGTTGAACAGGGCTGGCGCGCTCGCTATTTCGATGTGGACGTGACCATCGCCTTCTCCGTCCATCTGTTCAAATGTTTATCCTTCTGTGTGAGCGCGCCAACAAGGGCCGCAAGCACGATGGTACGAGGTGGGAAGGCGTGAAGCTCTGAAGCGGTAAAGCCGCGCAGCAGCGTTCATACGAGGGCATGACGGTGTGACCTTGGGGGAGAGGGAAAACACCTGCGCAACAGTACATCCCCCACAAGCGCCTACTGCTACGCGCAGCATATATGCAATAGAATCGTTTAACCCTGGCAAGCGTTCGGGCCGCTTCTTATCTCAGCTACGTTTGTGGAGATTGCCTATTTTTTTACGTGTTGTGCTATTCCTTTATCCCATCGAAAATTTTTTTTTTTTAAAATACAGTCCATACGCCGTGCACAATTGAGAAAAAAAAAAAAAAAATGGCACGAACGGGGGTAGGATGAGGCGTGCAGAGTCGCTAAATAAAACGTGCAATTAAACTGCCGGGAAGTGTTTCAAACGTCAAGAGCCACTTCAAAAGTGCTTCGAAATGGGGTTGCCAATTTCCGGGATGTCAATGTTCTCCCTCCTATTTAATGTGTATGCCATGTGCGGCTGTTATTTGTGACTTTGTCGCCAATTTTTTCCTTCGCGTACGGGTGGAGAATTTTTCGACAGATCGTCCCCCAGGTTATCTGCGCACGCGGTTGGATGAAGCATGTCGTGGTGCTGCATTGCCATGTGTCCATCTGTACTGTTACTTAAGCGGTCGTTCGGTTTGCCGCTTGGTGGGTGGGGACGCCGTTTCGCAATTGGCATATGCATACATGTGTGAGGATATGTATATGTACAGTTCCTATATGTATGTTGGCCCCCCCCATGTGTTGCTTCCCGCATGCAACGCAAATGAGGCAATTCCCAACAGGGAAAGGTAACCCCATTGTTGTCCGTCCCGCTAAAACCCCAAAACGATTGCAAATTTGTCAACACTATAATATGTCCCTTTTGGAAAATATTCCGTATTGTTCACTTTTGCCTGAACAGTTCATATTTTTTTTTTTTTTTTTTTTCTTTTAACCAGCTAGCTACGTGTTTTTGCACTGCAATGGTATTTGTGACACGTTCACCCAATTTTTGCAAACATAAAGACGCATTTGAAAAAAGCAGCTTTGTAACGTCGTCTACACTTTTTCCGTTTTTGAAAAAATCTGGGCATACGTAGGTGTATGGCGAGAGGCCACAATGCTCAAGTGAGGTTGCTCATAAAAAGTAAGGTCCCCACGCACACCACCACCACCACCAGGAACGTACATATAAATATATATATATATATGTACAACCCCTCATGCGTTACGGCAGTGTTCTTGTGCTCCTCTGTGCCACCGCCCCAACGACGTCTTCCTCTACATCCCCATTTCGAAGTTTGCCACAAGGCGGAACAAAAATACCACAATGGAGGTTAACAAAATTGATCAATAATTGGTCTTTTTTTTTTTTTCCATTTCTTCACAAATTGAAAGGTTCAACAACGTGGGCAATGCTCACATGAGTCGCCACAAAAATGGTATAACCATAACCGCTGTGGAGTGGCAACCACATGGGCGTCACTTGATCCGATTAAAAGAGAACAAGCTTGCGAACAAAAAAAAAAAAAAAAAAAAGGGTCCCATACACTTTACACATAATTAAAATGTGAACGAATGTACATGCTAGCCTGTTCTACCCTCATTTGGAAAAAAAAAAAAAAAAAATTGAAACACGATTAAGTGAAACACTGTACTGTTCGTGGCACCATCTGATGATTGAACGAGTGAGGAACAACGCACTCATTGCCCCCCTGGCGATTTGCTTGCTGTTTTTGCCACTTCAGTTTAGCAAAAAATGGAAGGAATTCCCAAGTGTGCATTTGTTCAGCTTCCTTCTGGGCATAATACTCAATGGAATGCTCGAAATAAAAATTGACGACAGAAAATATGTAGACTGGGTTATGCAACGGGTACTGTCTTACTCGTTATGCATATCCCTCATGATGACTTTTTCGTGTATGAAAAAAAAGGCAATTGTGTGTGAGCAGCGTGAAGGCGAAGAGTGTGAAACTGCTACCACAGAGGAGGAAGGAAAGAAAAAAAAATCCTTGTACAATTTACTAATTCGCAGCAGCAGGGTTGCGCCGTTTGGCATCGCTTTTATGTTCGGTGCTGTAGGGACACTCATCGGAGGAGTCAGTTCTTACCACTTGACGAAAAGGTTCTTTTTGCAACATGGCACAAAGGGGAGTGAAGAACGTTTGAGGAAAAATACCAGCTGTTTCGTTGCTACCTACATCGGTGGCTACATAAATTTTGTGGAGGTAGCTGACCTGTTAGCGGTGGACATTCTCGAAAGAAACAGCATGTTCATATTAGACGATTTGTTTACCAATCTGTTTCTTATCACTTTGCCCTTATGGAAATATGCTGGTGTTTTTTTTTCTGTCCACGGGGAGAAACCGGTGTCGCTCAACACCAGTGAATGTATCTCGAAGAAAAATGCAAGTGCAGTGAAGTTATATGATGAAGAGAGGAAGGCAAAGGACAGAGAAGAAATAACACACCTCCTGTGTGATTCACCCCAGTACTCATCATACGGGTCATTCGCAAATGATGAGGACTGGCCATTACCCCTATGGGAGGACCACCAGGTGAAGAACCATCAGATGTACTTCTTACCCCCATTGCTGTGCAAATGCCTATGTGACTGCCTATCCGTGGTGCTCATAATAGGACTGAGCACGAAAATGTTGAGCGACTACGAGTTCATATATCAGTTTGTTACTTCCTACATCCAGGCTGACAAATTCAAAACGTACATTTTATTTGCGCTTGCCTTTGGCTACTTATTCTGCCTGGACTGCATTGCACACATGATGGCTAGCCGGGTAACGAGACGCACAAAGAGAGCAGCAGTTGTTGTCACACATATTTATTTCAGGGCCACAGAGTACTACTCAACCGTTTTGCACCTTTTAACAGTTTACTATTTGTCCCTTTCAGGGATGTCCATTGATGTGAGCGTTTTGTGTAACACTGTAAAGCCGCTGACCATGTTGGTGATATGCCTATTGGCGACTCATTTAATTTGTGTTCTTTTTTTTTCGTACATGTTTAACATGGTTACCAAGTGGTCTCGCTTGGTTTTACATGTAGACGAAGTTTTGCTAGCTATCAATGCAAATGTCGGGGGGCCCAGTACTGCTGCGCTTATGTCCGATGTGCTGGGTAGACCTGATTTGGCCTTTGCCGCAACCTTTTGGGGTGTCTTTGGTTACTTCGTGGCAACGCACGCGGCCATGGGTATATACGCACTGTTGTAAAGGTTTACTCGCGTGAGTTGCCACTTGCCATTTGCCAGTTTGTCCTTGTGTCTGAAGAGATGCCACGCACATTTACGCACATGTGTCCGCCTAGACATGTTGTCAATTCGCGCTTTCAACAAATAACGTCAAATTAATTCTACGATGAAAACAAAGACAAATATGGAGGAATGTTCAATTTTTCACCTGAACAGTCATAATATTTTCATGAAGGAGCTAGCCAAAATTGGTAATTAAAACATTTGTGCGCTTTTGTAAAAAAAAAAAAATTACCTGAACAAGGTGGCTAGAAAAAAAAAAAAAAAAAGGCAATTTCATGCGTGCATTTGTGTGTGTGTGCAGGAAGAAGCTGTTCAGAAGGGAGATGACGGTGGCCACATAAAACACGAAGGTGAACATAAACAAGAGAAGTAAAATGACTGCATAAATCGCGAATGTGAACTGAAGAAGAGCGATGAAATGGAAGAATAAACACAAAGCTGGACGCGCAAGAAAAAAAAAAAAAAATCCGGTGTCCGAAGGCGAAAGACACCGACTGGCAGAGTCGTTCTGCCAGCGACCGGACGAAGCAACGGCGTCCAAGTCCTGCATCCACTTCAAACGCTCGGAAAAAAACGCACAATAGGGAATTAAACGCGAAGTGCAATTTTGTCCATATAAAATAGGAAAAATGTAAAAAATAAACCTTAAAAAATAAAAATAAAGCATAAATTGTTGCAAAAAAAAAAAAAAAAAAAAAATGTGTTAAAATATAGCAAACTCGTTTTTGGAAAATTTTTCCAAACACGAATTCGCAGCGCGACCTGCGGAACGACGTTGCGCGTGTTCACAAATTATTTTCGCGCGGATTCAGGCGTCCTTGAACCTCCTTCAAGGTTCGCGCATTGTGTACAGGGTGCATTTGTGCGTACGTGAATGTATACACATATATTGTACCTGTACACATGTACGCGCGCGCAGACTGACCTCCCACCCAGCACCACCTCTTGTTGCGCCAATTAATCCATTCTCCCCTCCACTTTTACGCACTGTTTCGTAGTAGACGCTTTTAAAGAGACGCGCCCTTTGGCGATCTCAACGTCTGCTTTGAAAGCTCGCTCATGTTGTCACGTCAACGGCCACCGCCAGTACCCGTTTTAACACCTTTTTAATCGCCCTTTTTAACAGCCACTGTCCAACTGCACTCACGAGCGAATCCAACGAGCCTCGTGACACTCAGTGAGCGCACATTTGTACTTACCCCAATTTGTCTTTTTTTTTTTTTTTTTTTTTTAAATTATTTATTGATATTAAAAACGACACCGCCTTTTAAAAGTTGTGTCCTTTTTTTTTTTTCCCTACAAAAACGGTGTTACCTACATCACGCGAATTGTTTTTGCACATGCTATTGTTTACCAGCGAGAGGAAAGCAGACGTTACTAGTTATAAAAAAAAAAAAAGGGCACCGATAGAGCTGCACCTATAATATCAACGGAGATACACACCAGCAAAAAACTCACCTTCTACCCAAACCGAAAAAAATGAGGAAGAAAAAAAAGAGCAGTGAGGGGAAGGTATGGACGGATGCATTGAATAATTTGGAGGAGGTGCATCAAAACAAGTATAGCTTAACGAAGGACACACTTCACGAAAGATCTCGACCCGAACCAGAAATCATTGAACACATATTAGAAGAACTAGAAAACAAAATTAGGTTTTATTTCAAGTTGTATAAAATGGAGAAGGATAAAAGAGCCGATTGTGAAAAGAAAAATTATTACTTGAATGAAGAGCTGAACCAGACTTACACGACGTTGCAAAAAAATAAACTCTACACAGATAAGCTAGAAAATAAATTACTAAACATAAAAGAGAATCAGAGCTCGTTAATCGATACAGTTAGGCGTATTGACCTTTTATACATACAGCTAGACACCCTGGTACAGTCGTTCTCTGGTGTTTGCACACAGGTTGCGGCGGAGGTCAATGCGTATGGGGACAACACGAACAGTAAGAGGAACACCATTAAGACTTTACTCGATTATATTTACCCATGTAGGACACTTGACCCTCGCATTAATTCGCTTTACGGGGTCTTGTATTATGGCTCTATTGGGTTACTGAAAGATGGAAAATTTGTTAGCCCGCCCATTCCTCCTGTCCCTCCAGTGGTGCCATCTGAAGGGGACGGTTGGCTACCCCCCTCGCAGTATGCCCCTCACAATGAGGTTTTCGCAACAGATTCTCACCAAAGGAGTAGTCACCAAAGGGGCAGTCACCAAAGGAGCAGTCACCTCGGTGGTTCTCGTGCGGAAAGTTTCGCTGACTCCGTGAGGCGAAGCGGAAGCGCTTTCAACAGAGAAAGCTCCAAGGAAAACTATACTGATGACGCACTCTTCACCAAGTACGTCGAACAAGAACAAAGAAAACAGGTACGAAACGAGTATGATATGCACAAGTCAGGTAGCAGCGAACTTATCCCTCAGGACTTACAAGGGTTCTGTATTAAAATTGGCTTCCTGGAAATTAGCTACAAGAAGGAAAATGCAAGAATTATTTGCGTAGTCCGATACGACAGTGAGACGACCACCTCTGCAATTCAAAACACGAAGAGAGTGACCAAGCCCAGGGACATGGATGGACGTGGTAATGGAGGCAAATGTATTTTTAACATTGATTATACAATTAATTTAACATCAGTGCCACAAAAAAAAGCAGGACACATCCCCAGCTTCATGATAGACGTACACGACGTTAATGGAAAAGCGTTGGTTGGAACATGTATGTGTTCCTTCATTAGTGAGAAAACGCTAGTGAGAGACGCGTCGTGGGATATTTACTCGAGGGTTGCAAATGCCAAGCCGGAGGTCATTGGCAAAGTGCATGTGTCCGTGTTTGCTTGCCCACCGAATGCGCTCCTCCCAGCGGAGATTTTTATGAAGGCGAGACAGCAGTCGGTGCAGCACTTCACGCAGCAATCGTCGCAGCAGTTGACGCAGCAGTCGACGTTGGCTGCTCCATACGGAGAGAGCGACCCAAGCGGCGCTCCCGCCGGGGACGATCGGAAGGTGGAGAGCAGCGCCAAAGTGGCCTTTCAGAAGAGCGCCCTTCTGAGCAAGGTTATTGAGGAAAGCGATCAGCCATCTCAGATGCACGTGAAGCCGCCATCCTCTAACAACACAGGGAAGGGGGCGAGCCTCTTTCAGAGGGGAACTAAGGTCACCTTCAAGCCGTACACCTCGAAGAATGCCGACTCGGGTAAGCCGCGCAGCCACGAACGCATTGCTGCAAGTTAGCCGCTCCCAACACACGCACACATATCGCACTTTCACCACCCCTCTCCCGCAGCCGCCTCGACGGACGCCAACAAGTCTAGCTCCGATGTGAAGGGAAGCACTCCCCAGAAGGAAACCTCCAAACGAATCATCCTCAATCACCTGAATGGAGACAGCAGCAAGAAGAGTGTCACCCCGGTTGGAAGTCAGCATAATCAGGAGGGAGAAAAAAGTGGTACCCCGCTTTCCCTAGTTCAGAGTCGTATAAAAAATTTAGCGATGCGGTTCGAGTCCAAGAATGGCACATTCAAGGGGATGGAGGAGGATGGTAGCAGTGGTTCCACGACCCCCGTTGAGGGCAAGGCCAGCAAGCTGGGCGGTTTTTTGAAGAAAGGTCTACCTCTCTCGAGCAGTAAGGGATCTAGTGTCCCGCAGGAGAAAAAAGGGGAGCAGAAGGAGGACAAAGCGGAAGAGAAAAAGGAGGACACGGCGGCAGATAAGACGGAAGACACGCCGGAAGTGAACACGGAAGTGAAAACGGAAGTGAAAACGGAAGGGCCAAAAGACGCATTGGAGAAGAAGAGTCCAGTCGGCCTGAAGAAAATCACCCCAGTGCTGAAGGACGGGGTGATGAAGATTAAGTTGCCTTTGCCGGGCAAGAAGGACTTGACGAAGAAAGCGGACACAGTAGCCGCTTCAAAGAGTGACGCTGCGAAGAGTGACGATGCGAAGAGCGACCCCGTAGACGCAGCAACAAAGGACAGCGACCCGAAGGACAACAACGTCGCCAGTAAGCCGATCAAACCAATTCTGAAAATAAAGGTAGAACCCAAAAAAGAAAACTTAAACAAGCTGTTTCAAAAAATGCCTCTGAAGACACCACTTGCATCTAAAGAGCAAGAAGACAAAGGTTCTGAGGTTGCGACGAAGGGAACCCCCAGTGAGAAGCCGACGGAGACAACCGATGCAAATGCTGCCCCGCCCAAAGAACAACCCGAGCTCGCGAACGCGGAAAAACGCTTGGAGAAAAAAATATCCATTAAGAATAAAATGCTTGCCCTTTTGAAGATGAAGCAAGTGGGAGGGGGCCCTCCCGCAATTTTGAAGAAGCCCGTTCCCATGCCGGCGTCTGCTGCGCCCGCGGAGGTCGAATCACGTAAGGGGATGGAGGGTGGTGGCACCAGTCGTTCGGGCGCCCCACTGTAACGTGTGGTGTAGATCGGACTTGCGTTCCGCGTGCTCATTGGTCCTTTTTACTTCACCTCCTTCACTGCACCGCCGTCACCTCACCACCCTCACTGCACACCCCCTCGCAGAGTCCAGCACAGATGGACCGGACCTGAAGAACATACTCGAAAAGGCAAAAAAAAATGCCATCTTCATTGACAAGAATAAAGTGAAAGTGAAATTAAACAAACAGGTGGAACTCAAAAGGGAAATAAAAAAGTTCGTGCCCAAGGTGAAGAATGTGGAGTGATCAGTGAGAGGTTTGGCGTATCGCCGGTAACACAACAGAGCGTGCTTTAGCTGACCGCAGGTAGAACGGGGAGGGGGACCCCCTTTTTTCACCCAAACCCCCCATTCCTACTTACACATAATATGTGCGCCTATCTTGTCTGCACGTATATTTTGTACATAACGTGTGGCGCTCCGTTCATTTTTCCCGCACCTGTGTTGTAGACCCTTTGGCCGTATTGCATAATGAGACCCCCTCCGTTGGGGCGATGGTAACATTTGTGTTCTTTTTCTGCAATTGTTTGATTTGCCTTTGTATTGTTGTGTTCGTCCTCCGTGGAGCATTTTATTATATTCATTTTATGTATTTATTTTTTTTTTTTTTTATTTCCTCCCAATGCGTGTCCTTTTTTTTTTTTCGTATACACGTACAGTGCTGCGTGGCCGCATTTGGGGTTACCCAGCAGTTCGGCACAGGTGTCAGTGGTGCCAGGGCAGGATTGCTCGCGTCAAACGGAACTGTTAAACAAGTGGCACATGAGCGTAGTGGTGTATTCCATTATGCTTGGCCTTTTTTTTTTGTTGCCCTTTTTTTCTACCCCCTTTTTTTTGTTTCTTTTTAATTTGGCTTGTTCATTTTTTTTTTTTTTTTTTTTTGCCTCCCTCTGTGCAAACGCGAAAAATGCAAAACATGTTGGGGAATGTCCCCTTAAAGATGACACACAGAGAGGAAGGGAAAAAGGGAAACGCCCAGTTTGTGAAGCGAAACTATTCTCGAAAAGGGGCGCAACGAATGAGCTTTTTTTGCAGCTATAAATGAGTTGCTAATAAAAAAAAAAAAAGGGAAAAATATCCCCCGCCAAGTAGCCACTTGACACACACACGGGGATGAGTCGAAACAGTGTAAGTGGCCCTGGGACGACGTACCAGGTGTACGTGTTGGCTATAATAGGAAAAGGAGATATTCCTTTGTACGAAGCTGACCTAACCATGAATGGAAAAAAAGATATTTCAGAACACCTAGCACAATTCATAATTCACCAGTCACTAGATTCACTAGACGTCCTGGTATGGAAATGCACAAATCTGTTTTTAAAAACGATTGATTCGTTTAACAGCTATTCCGTTTCAGCATACTGTACCACAGGACACATAAAGTTTTTACTGCTTCACAAAAACAAGAATGAAGTTAGCAGTGGGGGTAATAGCGGTACAGGTGGACCCGCCATCCATGTACCCTCTGATGATAGCATCCGATCCTTCTTCGAGGTCGTTCACGAAAATTATATTAAGGTGTTATTGAACCCGCTGTATGAGCCCAACGGAATGATCACAAGTTCTCTCTTTGATCAGAATGTGCGTTTGGCGGCGAAGCGCTTCCTGCACGGTTGAGCAGGTGCATAATCGTTACGGCGTATCAGCGATACCGCGCCATCACTCCACCGCTTAACAGATTAACCGCGGCTAACCGTACCTGAAGGCGTTGTTGTAGAGGTCCAGGGAGAAAGGGAAGGCCCGGTCGAAGGCGGCGAAGAGGGCCGCGGAGTCGGGGGGAAGGCCCTGATCAAAGTAGGAGGTCCAATCGTCCCGCAGCATTTCCAGCAGCTTGTGTTTGTCCTCCGTGGTGACGGCAAAGTTGAAGTGGCTGATGTTCCACTGCGGGTTGGGGAAGTCCGCCTTGAGTCTCTTCGTGAAGACGATGCTGTCCGGGTTCAGAAAATTGGCGAAGAAGAGGGGGAACATGGAGCCGGCTGCGTTTAGTTTGTCTCCCTCGGCGTAGCGTCCCAGTGCATCTTCCTGTTCTTGTTGCGCGTAGCTGCCCTGCCTCTCTTCCGCTCCGCGTGCCACGTCGCTTCCCGCTTCGCCTCCCACTTCGCGTGCCGCTGCCCCGCGCAAACCACGAATCAAACTGGAGAGCGCGCAAAACTGGTGGCTAAACAAATAAAACACATACCTAATCTTGTACGCATTTTTTCCAATGTCGAGTGAAGTGTCAATAGGATTTTCAAAGCAAAGTCGATTGTTCCCTTCGAATTCTCTTCGCATATATCTCGGCATGACGTGACCCAGGCCTCGTAAAACAGAGCAGTTAAAGTCCACATTATAATCTATACTATAGAAGCTAAAGAACTCCAGGAGTAACTTCACGAGGTAGCTGTTGTTAAAGACAGTCCAGTCGAAGGTAGAAGGATGGAGTTGTAAAAAATGCAAAACCATACAACACAAAAGGAAGGAACCAATCCCACCTATATACGTTTCATTCAAATTTCTTGTGTTTAAAAAAAACTTTAACAAAATGACTAGTGGCCTCAAATATAAATATTTCTCCACTTTACTTTTTATAAAATCTGTTGTTTGTCTTGAAGACAGTTGATTTGTACAAACATCTACCTGAACACCCGTTTCTTTATCTGTATATTTTAAAATTTTCACTCTTGCATCTTTTATTAAACGTATGTCTGCTACCATGTCTAGTTTAACTAACGCGTATGAAATGATTAACAGAGCATCGAGGTCTTCCAGGGGGATGTTCAAAAAGCACACATCCAGGTCACTACCCGGGATGGACAATCCTGTGACGAATGACCCAAATGGTTGCATTGTACACTGTGGAAAGAGTGACTTCACCACTACTTCTAACCTTATTAGCGATTTATGCTTTAACAATTTTTCTTCCCTCGTTGGGGTTAACCATTCAAGGATGTAGAAACAAGCATATTCTAAGTAACCTAAATAATTGAACTTGCCTTTTTCTTGGCGAACCCTTTCTGTGAAACACTTTGTGAATATGTCGTCTGTGTAGAAGATCTGCCGCTCGTTATCGTAACGCACACGCAGCTTCTTCATCATATAGAGGTAGTACTTCTTCTCCGACTCGGTTAAGCTTTGGTAGTTTATTTTAAACTTGTGCAGGAGCATGAGCCCGCTGTACTTTTTCCTTTCCCGCTTTGGCTCCTCGGGTGTGCGCCCGTGCCTGTTATTGCCGGACGCTCTTTCCTCCCTCGCAACGGCCGTCGCATTGGCCGTCGCATTGGCCGTCGCATTGGCCGTCGCATTGGCCGTCGCATTGGCCGTCGCAGTGGTGGTAGCATCGGCAGCGGTATCTGCCATTTCCGGCGCTAACATGGTTAACCTGACCGCCCCTCTTCCCTCCCCCCCGTGGGGGTGCACCTCCATTTTTATTGTCCCCTTTTTTATTTTCCTCTTTTTGTTCGTCCCCTTATCATGGGAGAGGTAGTCCGTCGAGGAGGACCTTCCCGAGGACAGCGAATCTGACTGGTCGCTCCCCTCAGACATGCCGCTGCAACTGTTGCTTCGGCTTTTGGCACTCCCTCCCGTCGCGGTCCACTTCATTGAAGTGTCCCTTTTATCATCACCATCGTCGTCGTCATTCACAGTGGAGTGTTTCCCTCCATTGGTGCTCAACCCGGTGGGTATTGCCTTTGTCACTGTTGCTACCCCCCCTTTAGGTTTTTTCCCATGGTGGGTAATATTATCATCATTGAGTCTTCTTTTACCTTTTCGGTCTCCCCCCAATACGGCTTCCCCTAACCTATCACCAGGTTGAATTCGCGTTTCCGAATTCACCTCACTTTGTTCATGACCTTCATTTGAATTATCACGTATTGGGCGGGTTTCACTAGGGTATTCTTCCTCTTCCCCTGTTTTGAGCCTCGTGTCTGCTTTATGACTCCTCCTCCTTTTGGAGGAACAGTGCTCTTGGCTTCTCGCCGAGGGATGCATGCCTTTCCAGTGGGCCTTCTCCTCATCGCTCCAAGGGGGAGATGTTTCCATTTGCCCCTTCGAAGCATCCTCCTTCCCGCCAAGCAGCGATATCACATTGGATGCCGCCTTCATCGGCTTGTTTACCTTGCTGTGCCTTTCTCTGTTTCGCTTCAGCACTTTGTGCAGCTCCAGTTTGGCTCCCTTCACCTGCTCCGACTCCTCCTCATTTGGGAGGAAGTAATACTCGAAGTCGTCCATGGGCGGGTGAGAGGAGGTGATGATAAAACACGATGGTGTTTATAAACACAGGGTCAGCGCACAAATTCACCCCAAGTGGCCGTGCGTCCCCATATCACAAGCCTCTGCAGAAGCTGAGCATAACATCCCTAGGGGACCTCTGCCGACCCGCTCTTTTTCACTCTCAAATGTTTACGACAGACCACATGTACGTAGCAGCACATCGCGTACAGTAGCATGCAATTTTGAAATTTTCCTGTCCTCCGCTGATTGGCAAGAGGGGGATTTTTAATATATACCACCTTTGCGCCAGCTTAAACGTTTCGCACCTTTTTATCATTCATCTTTAAACTATGCTGTTCTTACTCCCGTTTTTGTGTTCTCCAACTTGTGAGCATTTTGAAAGAAAGGCTTTTTGTTTCACTCTTTGTTTTTTTTTTTTTTTTATTTCCTGGAACGGGGATATTTTATGTTGTTCCCCGTTTCGGCGCCAAAATGGTCAAGCACCTTAAAAACGAGTTAGCCAAAAAAAAAAAAAAAAATACAAAAAAAGGGGGAAAAAATTATGAACAAGTCAGATATAAAAGGTGCGACAAAAGGACAAAAAAAAAAAAAAAATTTAATCATTTGGGGAAATATATAAAAAAAGGCGTATTGAAAGAAAACAACTGCGCGTTTTTGCCAAGTGGAAAAAGCTGCTCCCTTTTTTTTCAACCGGTTCTGCTTTGTAGAAAGAGAGCCGTTGGAGTTGGGCAAATGTACATTTGCAGTGTGGGGGGGAAGTCCTTGTAAGAAGGGAAGCATATGTAAAAACTATTGCGGTGTACATTTCGCTACCCAATAACGCCCTTACACCGCATGGCAGGCGAGGCAGGCACGCTGATTGGGGAGGAGGCAAGCCCCAAGTATATCGTGGAGCACCTGGATGAGCTAGAGGAATGGAGTATTCTCGAGTACATACACATATGCGAAACGGTAAAGGACAAAAATGTCATATTCACCAATTTTGACAGACCCTTCGACGAAGTATCCAAGGAACATAAGCCGACGTGCTATGAACAGCCCATCCGCGAGTTGAAGGAAAAATTCGAATGGAAAAAAATATGTCTATTAGATATGAAAGCCAAGGACATTTTAACATGCAAGGATAAGGAGCACTTGGATTACTTGCTCTTTGGAGGGATACTTGGAAATGTTCCATCTGATGACAGGACTTCTATTCTGCGAAAGTGCCAGTTTGTCATTTCGAGAAATCTTGGGGAAATGCAAATGACGACAAATACTGCTGTCCTCGTTTGCCATATCATTTTAAATAATCAAGTAGAGTTTAAGGATATTCCTTTTGTGGACAACCCAGAAATTGCGTTGCGAAATGAGAAAGAGTCAATGGTTCTTCCCTTCCGTTTTGTCTCCAAGTCGTTTTTTACTGGCCTGGATCAGGACAGAAATGTTCCCGTGCTGCCACGAAATTTCACTGAATATTTGATTGGCCTTGGGGATCAGCGTGTGGGCGACCTGGATGACTTCCTCTCAGGGGGGGTATAGTAAAAATAAAAAGGCACCTTTACAAAAAAGAATATATGGTGTGGAGCCCATCTCTCTCCCCCCCCCTCGTATTATGAGTCCTCTATGCACTTAACCTCACTACGACTAGCTGTCCTCCCCGGACGGCTTCACAACCATCTCGTACAGATATCTGATCTCATATTTATACACCGACTCATCATCGGTAACATCTGGGGTCTCCAAAATGATGGGAATATTTTTAAAGTACTTTGAAGTCATTACATATTTGAAAGTTTCAAGAGTAAGTTTTCCCTTGCCGATATTTTCATGCCTGTCCAAGCCACTGCCAAGGTCCGATTTGGAGTCATTAAGGTGAACAGCTTTTAAGTAGGTGGAGTCTACAACTGAATCAAATTTGTTCATCACTGTATCGAAGTCATTGTATGATCTGATGTCATAGCCAGCTGCAAATGTGTGACATGTATCAAGGCAGACTCCTATTCTTGTCTTATCTTCAACTTGGTTAATAATTTTTTTTAAGTCTTCAAATTTGGATCCTACAGAATTTTTTTGTCCCGCTGAATTCTCAAGGACTATCACAACGTTAGAAGTTTCTTTGTGTACCCTGTTAATACATTCGGCGACATTTCGAATTCCTTCCTCGAGGGAACATAACCCTGTTGTTGACCCAGGATGAAAATTATAAAGTTTAACATTTAACTGTTCACACCTTTTCACATCGTCTAGGAACGAGGCATAAGATTTCTCTCTTTTCTCCTTATCAGGATTTGCTAAATTAATTAAGTATGACCCATGGGGCAGAATAAATTTTGGGTCCAAATTATATGCTTTGCAGTTTTGCTCAAACTGTTTTATATTTGCAGCGGAAAAGGCAGGACTATCCCACTTTCTCTGGTTTTTTAAAAATAAGGCAAAAGCTTGTCCGGCCACGTTGAAACAGTTTGTTGGTGAATTCTGTACTCCTCCTGCTGCTGATATGTGTGCCCCCAGATACACATTCGTAATTTTTGAATAATTTTGAATCCTATAAAAGTCGTTCCACCTGTCATCCATACTTTTGGGGATGGGAGGATAAATCGATGCTACTTTGTCTTTACCCTTTTGTATTTCTCCTTTAATTTGTGTACCTTTTTTTTTTTTTTTTTTTTCCTTTTGCTTTTGCTTTTCCTTTTCCTTATCCCCTTGTTCTCTCATTACAGTATTTTTTTTTTCCTGCTTGTCAATTTTTTTTTTCGAGACAGATAAATGCTCCTTCTCCTTCTTCTTCTCCTCCTCCTCCTCCTGCTTCACCTTGGTCTCCCCTTTTGTAATACTGGTCATTGTGCCCGATGATTCTTGTTTGAGGGTATGTAGCGGTGCGATGTGTTCACTTTTTCGAACGACACTCATCTGATATGATTTCCCAAATGAAACACCTTTTCTCTTCTGAATGTTTAAGCGGAAAAGGAAGCGCCTCTGGGGGACACCTACACTTTCAAATATGCTGCCTACTCTTCTGTTACCTCCACCGAGAGGGAACTTTACCAGGCTGGCCTTTTCCCACGGGGATATGAAGCCCAGACGGTTAAATGCGTCGTGTTTATATTTTATCCCCCTCAGGGGGTTTGCGATTAACATACAGAGCAGAGAAGGGAACAAAAAAAACATTTAATTTTTTTTGTGTAGCCGGTTGGCAGTTTTTATTAATTTTTTTTTTTTGTTTTTTCCTTCCAGGTGAACGTTCAAATGAATAGTTTTTTGCGGCGTCATTTCATGAAGAGGGCGAGACTCAGAAGAGGCAACTCTCAAACATTGCCTTAAACGTGTTATGTGATGAGATCGAGTATGGCGTAATGCGGCGACGGAGTGTGGGCCAGTGCGATGGAAACAAAGCATGGCAAGAGGTTCCCTCCCCATACATAATTGTTGAGAAAAAAACCGGGAAAGGGGGTAAACTGTATAATGTGTTTTATATATTTTACCTGTACGATTATTTATATGTTTTTTTTTTTTTTTTTTTTTTTTTTCTGAGGGGGAAATGCTTGGTGCGTTGCTCTGCGTTGCGTTGATAACAGGAGAGGACATTCAGCCATACCCCACTGCACGAAAAAAGCCGGCGGGACGGATGTGTAACACCTTTGGCCTTTTTGCTTGGCGCTGCCCTTCTTGTGATGCCGCCAAATGTTGACCTGTTCCTGTCAGGTCAGTTTACCCAAAATGGGAAAACTCAAACGAGTGAAAATAAAAGCACAAATTTGAAGCTTCGAAAAAGAGAAGTTTTTTTTCTTGCCGTGTGTAAGGTTTTTGGCCAAACGAACAAATTACAAATTTGCCAAAGGGGGGGGTTCATGCACATGCCATCATCCCCCCCCAATGGCTGATCATGAACAAAAAAAAATAAATAAGCCCCTACAACGTAAGGGTGTAAACACACACACACACACAAAAAACAAGGGAAATTACTCCAGCTGGAGAGGCGATCGTGATGGGGGGTTATGCAGACGCTTCTACACATATGCACGTCAATCGGAAGTAAAGCGGTATCATGACGGTGGGTGGAGATGTGTGGTGGTGGAGGACAGAGTAAACCACGCACGTGCATCACATCGCACGGTGCACAAACTTCTGCATGCGTCTGTGCTCGCGGCGAGCGTCCTCCCTCTCCTCGAGTAGCAATTCAGCCTTCTTCAGCACGCGGCCCACTTTGAACATATCCTGGAGTACCTCCTTCTTCTTCAAACGCCACGGCTTCAACGCACCCTTCATCATTTTCATAACGTTATTAAACGAGTTCACATCACGCTTGTCCACAAAGGACACTGCTACTCCCTTCCTGTTAGCTCTGGCAGTTCTCCCAACGCGGTGAACATACAAAACTGAATCATTAGGAAAGTCAAAATTGATCACGAAGGAGGTCTTCGGAATGTCAATTCCTCTACTGATGATGTCTGTAGCTACTAAAATTTTACAGCCTCCATTTTTTATCTTGGACAAAGCACCTAGCCTTTTTTTGGGGTCCTTTGAGGAGTGTATAGATTCTGCTGAGAATCCCCCCAGCATGCATAAGACCGTGTAAATTAATTCACACCTGTAGCTGTTGTCTGTAAAAATAATGCCTGACTGGTCAGGTAACTTTTTCCGTAACAGGTATACCAGGTAGGTCATTTGCGCGATCTCGTCCACGTAGATATACCTCTGGTCTAAATTTTTCAAGGGCTTTTGCTTTTTGTTTGCATTTACAAGAATGAGATTGTCTTGCGGGAAGCAGTTGGCGAGTAATTTTAGCGAGTCGGTGATGGTGGAGCTGAAGAGGAGGGTCCTCCGCCCGCCGCCTGACGCGCCGCCTAACCCGCTGCCTGATCCACCCACCGCTGCGATGTGCGACCCGCCGGCTGCTGCGCATGACGCGCTTGTTGAATCCCCCCGCTTGGGCAAACTGCGGAGAATTACCTCCAATTTTGTCTCGTAACACTTCTGCAGCAACAGGTCTGCTTCATCCAACACAAAAAATTTCAACCTCTTGAAGCAGTTTGTAACATCAACGCAGTTCTCCATGATGTCGCTGGTTCGGCCAGGGGTGCCCACGATTACGTGCGGCTTGGCCAAGACTCCTCTTCGCTGCTCAATTAGGGAAGACCCACCAATGCACGAAAGAATTTTTATTCCTATCCTGTACCCGTAAAGAAGGAACTGTTCTACCACTTGTACCACCAGCTCCCTCGTGGGGAGAAGCACTATGGCGAAGACTCCAAAAGAGTTTTTATTTAATTCTTGTAAAATTCCCCAACAGTAACATATCGTCTTCCCTGTTCCTGTCTCGGAAGTACCAATTACATTATGTCCTTTCATTATGAGGGGCAAACACAACTGCTGTATCTTTGTTGGGTGACTAATTTGAACCGTTTTACTTACTTTGACTAACCAGTCTTCCACTCCTAGCTCTTCGAACGTGACTGGGGGGGCGGTATGTCCACTACGAGAGTTACCTTCATCATCTCGGTGGCGATTAGAAGAACGAGCCTCTCGACGCTTTCTCTTCAGATACATCCTTATGTAAAAAAGTTTCCTTAGTTTAGAGTGTCTTAATAGGAGGAGGGGTGGGTTCCCCCTTCCCTTCTTCTCTCCTGTCCTTTTAATTTTCCTCCCGTCAGTCATTTTATAGTGTTAACGTTATACTTTTTTATCTGTCCCCTTCTTCTCCCCCCGCCTTGGAGATTCAAAAACGGTGCAGGTTGAAAAAATGGACAAGGGGGCCGAATTCCTTTTTTTTTTTTTTTTTTTTTTGGCCGGCCTGGTCACATCATGGGTAATCACAAATGGCGTGGTGTTTTAACTTTCCCTCCAGTTAATATTCATTCGAAAGGGATGGATCCTCTTGAGCGTTTTCCTAACAGGGTGATCTGTTCTCTTTCCATGGCGAAGAAAAATTCTGCCGCTTTGCTCTGTACTGTATTTGTTTTTTTTGTAGGCTTCTCCCACCCCGTGATTATGAAATGTGGTTGCTTAAAATAAGGAGCCTTTTTTAAAAGGGCATTTTTTTTTTTTTTTTTCCTGTCCTTCCTTCTTTTTCACTATTTGGGGATCCCCCAAACGCGACAGTTATATTATATAGAAGATGAAGTGGTGGAATATATAAATAGGGATGCAAAGCAAAATAAAAAAAAGAGTCCCTCAAATGGTAACCAAGAGAAGAGAAAGAGTGGGGTTGCGTCACCAACTCGGTTTTGAGTTACAAACAAACATATGCATGTAACAAAGTAGATAACGCGTTCAGCTTCCAGTTTTACTTGTGGTGTTGCTGTTTTTTTTGTCCCTTCCGAATGGGTATGGAATTTATTGCTCCTCCCATCATTCCTCGGCGTAGCGCCCCAAGAGGAAAATACAAAAAAAACAAAAAAACGCCGCTTTTTCCCGATACGCAGAAAACAAAAAAAAAAAAAAAAAAAAAAAAAAAAAAAAAAAAAAAAAAAAAAAGCATAACCGATCCGAACAAACAGATTAGGGTTATTATATATAAATATAACCACAAAAAGGGCAGAGAGGCAGTATGGTATTTAAAAAAAAAAAAAAAAGGAGGAAAAAAGAAGAACTTCCCCCCTCTATCAACCAATTACTCAGTTGTTACTATTTTTTATGTTTATTTGTTTTCCCGAAGCACAGAGAGAACTACTTTCTACATTGTTCAAAAGGGTTGCGGGGGATACATAAAATATTTGACCTTTCATGCGGTTACTTTTTTTTTTTTTTTTTTTTTTTTTTTTTCCCTTTCCTGTAGCGCTACCTCTACGGTACCACGTGCAAAAGGTAGCAGCAACTTTTAATTAACAGAAAGCGGTGGTGGCGGCCCCAGTTGGCAACCCCTAAACTTGTGCTCACCAACACGTGTGAGTTGACTTTTTTTTTTTTTTCATAACGCATTGGCATTAGGTGTACTCACTCCGAGGGGCATATATACAAGCACTGGTCTGGGGGAGGGGAAGAAGAAAGCGGATTGAGACAGGCGCTGGAGGAGGAAGAGACAAACGTTCGTGTTTAAAGTATATAGAAGTTATTTTAGCAGTGAACCCAAGACACGGGAAGAGCTGCCCCCCTCTCCTCGCCACCATCTCCCCCTTTCTCTCCCTCACGATGGCCATACGAGTTCAGTTCGAAAACTCCAACGAGGTTGGCGTATTTTCGAGGTTGACAAACTCCTACGCACTGATCGCCATGGGAGGATCTGAAAATTTCTCCAGTGTGTTCGAATCCGAGTTGTCTCAACACATCCCCCTCGTGTACACCACCATTGGAGGTACAAAAGTGATTGGAAGAGTCTGCGTAGGAAATAGGAAGGGGTTACTCGTGTCAAGCATATGTACAGATCAGGAGCTCCTCCATTTAAGAAACGCACTACCAGAAAATGTTAAAATAAAAAGAATTGAAGAGCGCCTTTCAGCATTAGGTAATTGTATAACGGCAAATGATTACGTGGGGTTAGTTCATACAGACATAGATCGAGAGACAGAGGAAATAATTCAAGACGTGCTGGACATTGAAGTCTTTAGGACCTCCATCGCTGGCAATTTGCTTGTAGGTACTTATTCATATTTTACGAACAATGGAGGACTCCTACATGCCATGACCTCGTCACAAGAAATTGAGGAACTTTCAGAGCTTTTGCAAATCCCTTTAATTACCGGTACGGTTAATAGAGGCAGTGACCTGATCGGGGCTGGTCTGGTGGCCAACGACTGGTCAGCCTTCTGTGGCATGGACACCACTGCCATCGAGCTGAGTATAATTGAAAAAGTCTTTAAGCTCAACAGCATAGAGGACGCCAACATCGAGGACAACTTCAAGTACAAGTCTTCCATAATTCAAACCATGATTTAGTGGAAGAAGAGTTTTTACAAAAACGGCGCCACGTCTTGCATGTGTTACGTGCATGCGTTTCGTGCACGTGTTGCGGGGGGCACACTACTACCGTCCCCCCAATCTTTGTATCTCCTCCCTACGAAAGTCTAATTTTTCCTTTTGTACTCTCCCCCAGTGGGGTAATAAGCGCCTACCCCAGATGCGCCACCAGTCAACCCTCGCGCACGCGCGTGCGCAGGGGGGGGGAACATGTGTATGAGAAGCTTTTCTGAGCCATCCCCCCCGCTTGCCCTATCTGATGGGGACACGCCTCACCGGGCGGGAGGCCCCCTGAGGTCGCAAAGTTATCACGTCCCTCCTCTCTTTTCCTTTCTCTATCGCCCTCTTTTTTTTTCTTTATTTCATTTTTTTTCATTTTTTTTTTTTTTTTCTTGCTATGTGTATAATTATTCCCCCTCCGTGTGCTCCATATCACACACTCCCAAGTTTTATCACCCCTCAGTGGTGAACACAACAACCGAACGGAAAAAAAAAAAAAAAAAAAATTAATAAAAAAAAAACGATTTGAATTTTACTTTGGAATGAAATGACAGAGTTGTAAAGTTAATTTTGTTGTTTACGTGGGGGAGGCCGCTACGCTGCTACACCGCTTTTCACCGCTACACCTGGGCGAAGACGAGTCGGACGGGGCAGCCGGCCAGGACGATCTCCTCCTCGTGCATCTTCCCCGGGAGACCCTCGTAGTCTACCTGGGAAGGCAGCACGTGGAGCTCGCGGCGGAGGCACTTCCTAATATAGTCCATCTCGCTCACCATGTTACTACGCAGAGCCTCGTCTGCAATATACACGTGCATTTTAACAGGTGAATTTTGATTTAGGGATAAATTTTTTCTCGTTTTCTGTACGTGGTTACAAAGTTCTCTTGCATTGGCTTTGTTCTCGAGTTGTTGATCTGTGCTGAAGTCCATAAGGACCGTTACAGACTCGTTACTTATAACATCTGTGTCCTTGTCCTGAAAGGTTGGCTTCATCTGTATCATTATGTCATCTCCCTGTAGGGTTACTCCATCGAATGTTATTTTTCCTTCCTCCTGGTATTTTTTAATTGATTTTGAATCCATACTTTTTATTTTATTTTGAATATGTTTCAAATTGGCTCCTAATTTACTTCCGAGTGTTTTGTAATTGGGTACTGCAGTGAAGTCAATACAGCTGGTGTCGTTTGAACATTCCACGTGAAAAACGTTCAACTCTTCCTTTATGTAATGCATTATGTGATCAAACTTGTTGAAGTAATCCTTGGTGGGGTGCAACACAGTAATTTTCTTTAAAGGCTTTTTACTAGCAACCTTTCTCCTCTCCCTGAGTACTCTCCCCAGCAGAATGACTGCCTTCATTTTTTCAATCAGCTCAATGATTTCGTAATCAATGGCGTAGTTCTCGTCGACTTGGGGCAGCATGAGGAAGTGAACGCTGTGCTCGGCCACTTCGCTATGCTCGGCCACTTCGCTGTGCGCTTCGCTCTGAACCGCTTCCCCCTGCGCTGCGCTCATCGCTTCGCTGTGCGCTACGCTCTTCGCTTCGCTCTGAGCCACTTCACGCTGCGCCCCGCCGGTGCGTACCCTGCGCAACCTCTGATAGATGTACTCCGTAATGAACGGCGTGAAGGGGGCCATGAGGACAGTGAACAAGTGGAGGGTCTTGTACGTGGTGCACAGGGACTGCAGGCAGTTCTCCTCCCCCAGGGTACCCCTCATCCTATCTCTATTAAGACGTATGTACCAGTTGGTTAAATTTTCAATGAACTGCAAAAGGTTCGGGAGGACATTATAAAGTTTATATGCTTTCATTTCTGCATGAACAAGTTTAGTTAAATTTTGAACAGAAGAAAAAATCCATCTGTCCATTACATTTTCATTTTTGTAAAGGCATTCTTCCTGAAACAAAAATTGCTTCTTCTTCAAACATTCATATCGAGTCACCTCTTGTGAAAAGAAACGGAAGCTGTGATAAAAGGGTAGGATGAAACTTTTAACCACTTCATTAACACCCTTCTCCTGAAACTTCAAATTTTCTGCTCGAACAGCCACAGAATTTATAAGATACAGTCGCAAGCTATCCGCTCCATACTTGTCTAATATGTATAAGGGGTCGGGATAATTCTTCAACCTCTTACTCATTTTCTTTCCATCTGATGCAAGCACAAGACCATTACATATGAGGTTCTTAAAAGGAGCCTTATCAAATAGCAAGGTACTAATGACCAGCAGGGTATAAAACCATCCTCTGGTCTGATCTAATCCTTCCGCGATAAAATCTGCTGGAAAAATGTTATTAAAATTTTCCTTCTCTTTATTAAATGGGTAATGTACCTTGGCATAGGGCATGGAGCCACTTTCAAACCAACAGTCGAACACTTCAGATATACGTTTCAGCTTAGGATAATTCTTCCCCTTAGGATTCTCAATTTGTATGTGGTCAATGAAATGCCTATGCAGATCATTTATATTTTTCACCCCAGACAACTCCTTTAAATGTGAGATACTTTCTACACATACCACCGACTCCATTTTTTCGTCTGTCCATATGGGGATAGGAGTACCCCAATAACGATTTCTACTGATACACCAATCCTTTGCATCTGTTATCCAATTGTGAAATTTTTTTTCTTTAATGTGATATGGAATCCAATAGGTTGTGTCATTATTCTTTACGAGCTTGTCTGTCGAATTGCTCACTCGAATGAACCACGCCGGGATGGCTCTATATATTAAAGGGGTGTCGCTTCTCCAGCAAAAAGGGTAAGAGTGCACAATGGTATTGTTACTCAAAAGGCGATTTTCATTTTTCAAATATTTCTTTATTACATTGTCTGCTTCTTTAATAAACATATTTTGAACCATGTCTACTTGGCTAGTAAAATACCCATTTGCATCAATTGGATCTATAAATATATTTTTCTCGGGGTCAATAACTCCATTATTTTTACACACCCTGAAATCATCCTCTCCATATGTCGGGGCGCAGTGCACTATCCCTGTACCCGCATCGTCTGTCACAAAATCATCAGCCAAAATTTTATATGCCCTCTGTTTAAAATTGTGCAGGTCGTAGAAGTTGTTAAAAAGAGGCTTATATCGTAACCCCTTTAAATATTTCCCCTTAAATCGGTTCAACACTTTCAGGTCTTCAAAACTCCACTTCAATTCCTTCATCGCCCACTCGAGCCTACACTCCCCCACAATCACCACTCGATTACTCTTCACATGATGAATGCGCAGGTATGTAAAGGTCTCATTCACACAGAGCGCCAAGTTAGATGGCAGTGTCCAAGGGGTGGTAGTCCATGCGATAATTTCGTTATGTACAGGGGAAAAGACACATTCCTTTCCCTTCTCCCCCTTAACACAATCCTCCCTCTTCTCATTAAACAATAAAGAAAACTTCTCCCCTAGCACCTTCTTTGCCTCTTCCACTTGGCACTCCTCCTCCACTGGAGGGAAGTCAGACAAAAGAACAAAACTAACAATAATGCTAGGATCAGGGGTATCCTTATAATTAAGATTAAGTTCAAAGTTAGAAATGGGGGTGTTGCATTTGCATGAGTAAGGCATCACTTTAAATGATTTATACACATAATTTCTTTTATACAGTTGACTGAAGACCCACCAAACACTCTCCATAAAGGTCGTGTCCATGGTCTTGTAATCATTTTTAAAATCAATCCAGCGACCAATCCTTTCAACAGTTTTCACCCACTCATTAGAGTATTTCAACACGATACTTCTACATTTTTCATTGTACACATCAATGCCCATTTTTACAATATCTTCCTTTTTGTTAATGTTGTTCTGTTTTTCAATTTCGTATTCGATGGGGAGTCCGTGACAGTCCCACCCAAACTTCCTCTCCACTGAAAAACCGCATTGGTACTGGTACCTCGTCACACAATCTTTTATAATGCCTGCTAGCAGGTGCCCATAATGTGGAAGCCCCGTGGCAAAAGGAGGCCCATCATAAAAGATAAATGCCTTCCTATTCTCGGCGAGCTTATTGGAGGTATTAAACGCGTCGATGCTCTTCCAGTAGGAGAGTACCTTGTGTTCCTCCTCCACGATGTTGGGATTTTCTGCGACCCCCTCAAATGTTACGTAGGTGCCCGATGCTCCTTCCATCATTTTTGTACTGACTACACTTGGGGTGAACAACTTGGCCTGGGAGCAGCGGCAGCCCTGACGCAGCGGCGGTTGGGCACCCGAAGCGACGCGTCTCTCCGCGAGGTACACGCTGGCTCTTGCCCCGCGCCTGAGCATAAACAGGCTTCTCCTGAGCGATGCGTCTCGGCTGCGTTTCGGCTGCGTTTCGGCTGCGTTTCGGCTGCGTTTCGGCTGCGTTTCGGCTGCGTTTCGGCTGCGTTTCGGCTGCGTTTCAGCGATGCCCGTAGGGGGAAAAAAAAAATAACCCAGCACGTGCAGCAGCTGTTTAACACTTGTTAGCAAATTGTTGAAGCCGCCGATGAGGCATTCTCTCGTTGACGCGGTTATGCGCGAAGGCCACTAATTTGTAGAGCGAGCAGTTGAATATAATACGCTCCGTCGTTTTTTGCTTCAGCCGTTTCCGTTGTTTGCTCTACTCTCTGTATATTTACGCTCCTATGGTTTTACTCACAAATTTTGAGTTCTTCAATTTGGGGCTCCTCATAACTTGAACTTTTTTTATGTTAGCATTTTTTTTTTTTTTTTTTTTTT